AATTGGGATCTCGCTTAGAGGGACCAATCTACTTCGAGTGTAAACTAAACGAGCCAATGCACATTGGCATGCGATTATTGCATCCAGCTGCTGCTGATCACAGCGTGAGTATAAGTAGGCAGCAGGTGCAGCGCATATTCAGCTTTTCGCTGAGGAGCCGAGCCGGTGACCCGGCCGCTCAGCGGTGGTACAGGAGCTGTGGCGACGGGACGTGACGTCTCCGTTCCCTCCTTCAGGGAACGAGGGTTACATACGTAACCGAGACGTTCCCTTTCAGTCGGTCACTCTCGACGTCACGTCGGAGGACCGACGAAATTGGGATCCTACCAAAGGGCCACAGCTACTGCCCCTTCCAGTGTCCTGTGGAAGCCACCTGCGCCCCTATTTTTTGGCGTAGGCCAGGGCTTACCACAAGAAAGCGTGTGACGGAAATGTTACGCCCCTACCATACTGTGATGCCGTGTCCGGCCGAAGTGACGAGACAAAAACATTAAAACCCATTATGAACAAGGCGTTTGTTGCATCCAGGGGGACTTAATTTACGGATTATAATGACTTATACTGTCTTTTTACGCGTTGCATCACGCTGCGTAAACATAAAACCATGTCAAGTCAAGTCACCTTTATTTATATAGCGCTTTTAACAATACAGATTGTGTCAAAGCAACTGAACAGCATTGACTAGGAAAATAGTGTGTCAATAATGCAAAATGACAATTTTGACAGTTCATCATTGAATTCAGTGATGTCATCATCCAGCTCAGTTCAGTTAAAATAGTATCTTTGCAATCATTTGCAATCAAGTTAACGATATCGCTATAAAAACCATGTCTGCATTTGTGATCGGAGAAATGACAAACAACAAGCGCTACTCTACACTGCTCAAAACTCGCGCTTGAATCGTCAGTGGCAAATTCTTTAATTTAAAACGTACTTACAGTCTGTGAGTCAGAACTGCCGGCATTGTCGTCTACTCCAGGGGTTTTCAACCTTTTAGGACATGCGCCCCCCCAAGTTTGTCTAATTTCACTGGCCGCCGGCCCCGCATACCCCCCC